GTAAGAAATAAGCAGTAAGCAAATTGACCAATTCCATTCTCACGTTTCAAAAATAATCGATTGTGATTGGTCTATTTACTTACTGCTTATTTCTTACTACTACTCCTACTGCCATTGTAGAAGACGCTTAATTGACTGTGGTTGTTCAAGGCTTAAAGCTTAAAGCGAAGTAGACCACTTATGGCACCTTTATTGCGATAGCCAAACAGAAGCGTCAGTAGCACCATTGATGCTTCTGATTGGTTGTCGCAATAAGAATTGCGTCTGCTTACGATCGGCTTGCAACTAATGTAGAATGATCTTGGTTGCGTTCCGTTTCACGCATTATGCGCGCATTGTCTACAATATACGTAACATGAACTATAGATAAATGCGCGCATATGCATGAAACGGAACGCGGCCCTTAATGTAGAACGACTTTTACATAGGTTGCGTCCATTTCACACATTATGCACACATTCCCTATAGTATACGTGACATAACCTATAGATAAATGCGCGCATATACGTGAAATGGAACGCAGCCATGGATATCGCTGTTGGAAATCAGTGTTTCCTTATTTTCTCGTAACATTAAAATACTCAAAGTTTAATAAAGATCGATGTTTGTGTTTTAAAAAAAAAGTAGATTACGTCTTTCTAAATCAACGTTAAAGTATAAAAAGTACAATGTACTGTTTACAGATATATTAATATCAAAACTTTGTATATTATTCACACACACACACACACACACACACACACATGTGGATACACAACATTTATTTTTGAACTTTTCATAGTACACTCTGTGTGTATAAACGCACAAGTTCTTCGTTTACCTTGCTGTCACTAGTCGTAACCGACCACATTCGGGAGAATAGATCGTTCGCAATAACGGCTGTTGCAACTTGGCTTGACTTATGCTCCAAAATATTCTTATTAATTTTTAGCAAAAACGTGGTTTGACGAGAGGCGCGCACAATGATCCGTCGACAGTGATAGCCGGTGCCGCGCGACGACATGGCTACTGTCAAAGTAACGGAGCAAAAGGTTATCTTGTGCGGCGAGTACGGAGTCGGCAAGACGTCTATATTTCGACGCTTTGCAAACAACACATTTGTAGCCAGTAATGATCGTAAATCGACTCTTGGCCTTGACAACATCGACAAAGAATACGTCGTTGAGGACAGACGAATACGTGTGAGTGCTCGATCTATTGTGTCTGTAAAGTGAAAAAGAGTGAATACATGTGTTTGCACTTGCAAACGTGTTTCTTTTCTCTACTTTGCTTGGGTGTGTTTGTTTATTAAAAGAAAAGTTGATTGTATCGCTTTGTTTGTGTTGTACGTGTGTGCATACAATACATATGTAAAAGTAAAAAGTATATATAATTACATGATACTTTGTATATATGAATTTGTCTAATTTCATGCCTCTTATTTTGGTCAGTTGCAATTATGGGACACTGGTGGTATGGAAAGAGTAGCATCCGTTACTTCGAGTTATTACAAGTTTGCGGAAGCTGCCATTCTCGTGTTTGCTTTGGATAACTCAACATCATTTCATCTATTATCCCAACATCTGCTCGATATAGTAACATATGCAGAAAATGCAAAAATATTCCTGTGTGGAAACAAAAGTGACCTGGAGAGTGTTGCGCCACAAGTCACAGACGCAGAGATGGAGCAATTTTGGTAATTATATTTCTCAATAATTCTGCTTATAATTATATGACTTGGATTCGCAATTATAAATTTAACAAATTTAATCTAGTGAACAATGTCATAATCTAATTTCGGGAATATACAAGACGTCGTGCAAAACGGGTGAAGGGGTAAACGAAATGTTTGAAGATATAGCGCAACATTTGGTCGAAGCCAATCGATCGCGAATGGAGCTTCACGAGATGGATAAAGATCGATTTAAAATTTCGTACATCGACGAAGCAGCTGATCCGTCGTGTCTGTGTTAATTTGCGAATTAAGAGTCAACAGCATCCATTTTTTTTTCTTTCAAGAGCCTTAAATCGTATTGTCATTCAACGTAAAGGAGCTAACCGGAATCAAGTCTTTTTTACCGAGCATTTATCGTAGATGTGACTTTTCTATGAGGGAAGGTCATCAAAAGCGAGTATGGAAAGTTCTCCATGAAAATGAGAGGTGGATTGGTAATGTGCTAAAACGTATCTATAAACGGCTACAAGCTGCGATTGTACCGGGACAGGTCAGCTCTGAAAGACACGAGAGACGGCAAAGATTTTCAAATAAAATTTTATTACGCGCATCGAGAAATATAATCTTAATCAACTAAACTCTCTCTCTCACTCTCTCTCTCTCTCTTTCTCTCTCTCTCGGCCTCTATTAACGTGATTTACGCGTGGTCGCTGTATGTTTCATAATCAATATATATATATATATATATAATATATATAAATAAATATATATATATATATATATATATATATATTTTTTATATACAGCTATGATTGTAATACAGCTACACCGCGTAACGAGGCACTAGTGTTGAGTCCATTTGATAGTCTTCAAGTCGATGCCATCTTCCACCATCTCCCACAACGGGCTGTAAGAGATGAAGCGAATCAGATCAAAGATGAAGATTTCGGCGTTCTATTTGCGTCATCGAACAATTGTCACCGATAGATATATGCATAGCGTAACTAATAGAGAAACGTCCAACGATCTCGATATCCCTACAAGACGAGATTACACAAGTTTTCAAGCCAAAGTATATAATGCATATGTAAGTCTAGAGTAGATCGTTTTTGTCCTTGATATCCTCGACAACTTGAAATAAACGTTTGTACAACAATGATCAATGAACATCACCCATAAACGTACCTCATGTCCCGTAGTCGTTTCACTTGCCGTATCGTGTTATCCGCGGTGTAATCGACTTCTTCGAGTGTCGTAAACCGTCCGATGCCAAACCTATAGTTGAACGATGATTGATAAAAATGTTTCGATATTGAGTCTCTGAAGCATACTTACCTGATACTGGAATGAGCTAAATCTTCCGAAGCGCCAATCGCTCTCAACACATAGCTAGGCTCCAAACTCGCGCTGGTGCAAGCCGAACCACTGCTCAACGCTATTTCTTTCAGCGCCATCAGCAACGATTCGCCCTCGACACACGCGAACGATAAATTTACACAACCAGGATACCAGGCGACGGGGTCGCCGTTGCGTACAACTTGCGACAAGTTGGACGTTATCTTCTCGATCAGGTGATTCGCTAGCGCGCTGATATATCTGTGATCGTACTGCAAAAATATATTTTACCGTGTAAACTTTGGCTCCGAGGCGACAAATATAATCTTGTTCCTCTTATATTATTATATTTACATCCATCTCGATCCGCGCCAGCTCACAAGCGGCGCCGAGACCCACAGCTAGAGGCGCCGGCACAGTACCGCTTCTCATCCCCCTTTCTTGTCCACCACCACTTTGTAATGGCTCTACACGCACTCGTGGTCTTCTTCTAACGTAGAGAGCCCCAATTCCTTCGTAAACCCAAAGAAAGAGAACTTACCAGATGATGATTGTACGACGCGACCACTCGCGAGCTATTTGTAACAGTAAAGCATGATAATACCTTTCGGACCATATAATTTGTGACCACTAATCGACATGAGATCAATGTTCATGGCATTAACATCGACTGGTATCTTGCCTATCGCCTGGGCTGCATCCGTGTGGAAGAAGACATTCCTTTTTCTAGGAAATTCAAGTGGAAAATGCAAAAAGAATAATCATGGGGTGTTGAGTCTCGGTTCTTACCTGCAAATGGTACCAATTTCTTCAATAGGCTGCCTAACACCAATCTCATTATTTACTGTCATTACCGAGACTAATGATGTGGATGGTCTGATAGCTGCTTCCAATTCATCTAGATCAATAAGGCCGTTTGACTTGACAGAGATGTACGTTACATCAAATCCTTCTGCTTCCAAGGCTCTACACGAATCTAATA